TGATGAAATCAGAGGAATAAATGGTGAGGAGCTGGGCTGCCGACGTAGGCAGTGAAGATAAAAAGGCTACTGGCCCTCTCATGTGCCATAACCTTAGTTTCCATTAGTACATGAAGAATTTATATCCTCTTTTTTCCTGCTCCCCCTTCTCACCCAAAAAAGGAAAAGGATCTAGGGCCTTGGTTTTCTATGCCTCTTTCTGGCTCTGCTCCACCCAATTCCAGGCTGGAGAATCAAAGCAAACACCTTCAAATAAGAGTCTGCTCCTGTCAAGTTGGTGGTGGTGTGAAGGGCCCTTGTAGTCAGGGGAGAGACAGTGGAGAAATGTTTTCAGCATATTAGACAGTATCCCATACAGTCAGCTCCAGTTTGTCCAAGAAACTTTATTGGAAAAATGTCCAAGGGGTGAGGTCACCAGCAGCTGAAGGGGCTGCCAGGTGAGAGGGGGCGCACCTGAGGCTCCATGGAAGACATTGGAGTAGTGCAGTGCAGCATCTGTCTCCAGGCCCAGACAATTCCTTTTATTTGCTGGGGGAGGTGGCGTACCCACAGAAACACTCCTCTCTGAGACCCAGAGGCAAGATGTGGGGGCAGCTGGGGATGCCAAGGGTTCTGATGCAGGTGAAATGGGGGCCCCATTTGGGACCTAATGGGATAGGGTTGAACAAGTGACTCTCTCCTGGACCTGGGGGATGGAAGGACATATCCCATCTGATATCCACTCCCCAGGTCCAGGGGCTCAGACCCTAACAGACCTACCTTCTGGCCCTGCTCACAGTGGAAAGAGAATGGATGCCAGGCCTGAGATTGTGGGAGTGTCATTACCCTCTGGAAGACTGTGGGATCCTTCAGTCTTGGACAAATCACCATCTTGGGCTCTCCCTGACCCCTTCCCCATCCCCAAGATGTTAGTGCATCTGTCTTCTGGTTCTGTTTCTTCACTCATACGTCAATGGTGTTGATGGAGGGTGAGTTTTTCTGTGAAAGAAGATGGCTTGAGTCTCATTTCAGGAAGGCGATAGCCTCCTCCATCCCAAATTTCCATTCTCCCTCTTCTCTTGCCCCTCTGTGGCCCTTCTCCCTTTCCCTTACTGCTTCTAGAGGCAAAATCACCCTTCCCTCCCTCTCTGGCCGCACATCACCTGTCTTGCCCCCACTGGCCTTCCCTGAGGACTCTGTTCCGGTCCCTTCCCCTTCTCCTTGGGGTTATTGTTGGAGTCATTGTCCTTGATGATGTCATACTGACGGCAGAATAGCCCAATTACAGCTGAAACACAACAATACAATCTGAACCTTGATCTTGACCTCCCCACTCACAGCCTCGAAAGGCAGTGAGATACCCACACAGTTTCTAGAAAATCCGAGAAGAAAATCTTTGAATTCCTGGTCCCCATGCACAGGCACCACCTTCTTCATCATCCTCTCTAGGCTCCCAAAAGCCTCCTCTCCCTCTCTTCAAACTTTTCCTGCCCATCCCTCTCAACTAAACATCTCCCCACGCCACTGCTCTCACCCCCTTTTCTCCCAACAACCTTCACCAACTCCCACCTTCACTGAGCCCCACTCAATCCATGGTCCCCTGTCCAGCTGCTTACTCACCAGCCCACATGAGCAACACCACCACAATGATGACCACTTCCCCCGTCTGCAGAGGTCGCTCTCCATCCAGACCCTCCACTGTGATGTCACCTGAGAAGGAAGGAGACGGACCCCAGGTTACAGGGAGCAGCTAGAGAGCTATGTCTGTGCAGACAGTTAAGGATGGAGATGCTGGGGATTAGAGCCAAGGTAGACCCATCACAGCGTTGCCACTGGTAGCCCCTCTCTGGGAAGCTGTTGGTGGACAGGTGGTTAGAGACCAAAAAGCCGGGGGGCTGCAGGTCAGATACTCACTCATGCAGGCTGTAGCTGCTGTGAACTGAGGCTGGGTAAAAGGAAGCTTAAAAGCCCTTCCCCCAAGGAATTCATTACCAGCCTGTCTATACCCGGTCCCCTGCCAACCTGCTTTCCTTCCTTTTCTGGCAGTACAATGAATTAAATCATCCTTCTATTCATCCAAGCTAGACGGCTGCTTGCTTTGGGGAAGTAAACAGGAGACCAAAGACCAGGTAAAGAGCCAGAGAATCCAAAGCTTTAGGGAGCGAGGAATACCTGAGACCCTCACCTGGGCTCGAGCTGTTTGAGGGTAGCCGGTCAGAACCCTTGAGAGTTCGGAAGTGCACCCGCGGCCCTGGGGGGCTTTCTCCCCGAAGGCCGATGCTCCTGACCTGCACTGTGTAGTCACTGTCTTCAGCCAGGCCCCAGAGGGCACAGGCCCGAGTGGTGGTGTTCACCTCCCGGATCACACGTTGCCCCGGTCCATTCTGTCGCTGCAGGGAATTGATGAGAGAGGAGGACAGCCTCACCCTGGTCCCAGGCCACCTCCTGAACATCCAAGCACTCCAAGGCAGCAAGGGTGAAAAGGGCAGCGTGAGCCAGGGAATCCCAGCTCCCAGATTCTCCCACAGCTGGGAGGGGAGCTGGGGTGGGGAGGGAGGTGACAGAAGGAATGTTCAGAGATCCAAGGACATGGGTTGGGGTAGCAGAAGGGTGATTCATACTTGCTGGGAAATGGAGTAGCCAATGACGATGTTGCCTTCTGGGACGTCCCAAGACACAGTGGCCGAGTTGGCTCTGAGGTGAGTGACTGTCACATTCACAGGAGAGGGAGGCCGGTCTGCGGGTGCCAGTGCGTTAACCGGTTAACAGGTTCCACCCACAGACTAACTCTGGTTACCTCCCACCCTCTCCCCCTTTACGCACCTGCTCGTACAAAGCCCAGGTCACAACTGACCAGCAGGAGGACAGTGGGGCTTAGATATGGGGAGAGGGGCATTAGCGAAGCCATGGTCCCCACCGAGTCCTCTGGGAGGCACTGGGGCATCCGTTTGACATCCAGGCGGGGGTCCTGGAGGTGGCAGGAGTTGTGGGAGGGTCAAGGACTTGCCAGAACGAGCGGGTGGGCAGCAGCTCTCCCGGTCTCCCCACGGCCCACAGCAGCCCCAGAGCCCCCCTTTTCCCCATGCCTTCCTGGCCCCCGCCACATCCCGGCGCCCCTGGTGCGCGGCTCTGCTCTGCCCACACCCACCTCCGCCGGTCCTCGCGGTCGCTCAGGCCTCGGGGGGCTGCTCGGTGCCCAGAGGGCGGCCCATCGCCCGACTCCGTGGCGCTGTCCCTACCCCATCCCGGCGCGGGCCCGGCGAGGCGGGCGGCGCTGGACCGAGCTGCGGGCAGAGGGCGGAGGCGTAGCGGGAGCGGGCCGCGGGGCTGCGAAGCCCCCCGAGCTCCGACCGGCCGCGCAGTCTGTCCGAGAGCAGGGGGCGGTGCCGGCGCGGCCCGGAGGCTGGCCTGGGTCCCCGGGGCGGGAGGCGGTGCGGCTGCCTCCGCTGGCCCCTGCAGCAGATGTGACCGTCCCGGTGAGCCAGCCGCCGCCTTCTGCAGAGCTGGCCCCCGTCGCTCCGCCGCAGCCCGGCCGGGACGTGCGGGCCCGCCCCGCCCAGCTGGGGTTCTCGCCGCCGTCATCAACGCCCCCCCAACCCGGTTCTTTCGGGACTCCTCCCACGACCCCTCTCATTGGCGGCCTCTCGGGCCCCCAAAGCTCCCGATCCCGGCTCTGTGCGATAAGCCCCGGCAGGGGCGTGGGGGGCGGGGGGATGTCGGGAGAGGCGCAGGTGCGAGGGTCTCAGGCACCTGGGAGGCCTCTCCCTCCCCAGATGGAATTAGCCGAGTTGGGAAGTGGAATTCCACCTCCGGTGCCGGAGGGGACAATGATGGAGATAATAATTATTTTGACAATCTCCTACTTGTAGACTGCGTCAGCTTTTAAGTATCTTCCCCATTCATAATCTGATCTTGATTCCCTTCATTCTCTCAGTCATTCTTTCATTTATTAGGCAAATATTTATTGAGCGTTCTCTATATGTCTGGCATGTTAATAGCTGGAGATACGGCGATTATTAAGGGTGCTGGGTTTATAGGGGAAATTTAAAGAGAGACGACCTGTTTCTTGTCTTAGCTCTGGGACTTACTGTGTGGCCTTAGACAAAGAGGTTAATCTAAGTCTCAGGTTTCCCACCTGTAAATCAGAGCATCCAAAACCTCACAGGGCTGTTGTGAGGATCAAATGAGACAATATTGGGGAACGATCTTTATAAAGCTTATAACACTGTGTGAATGAGAGATTATGATTAATTGCACCAATTTGTTAGTTACTTCATTTATTCAATAAGCATGTAAATCCTTAAGTTATTTCATGCTTTGGTTGAGCATGAGATCTGGAGTGAGAACCTGGGTGTGGGTCCCAATTCTGTCAGCTGTGTGATCTTCAGCAACTAACTTAACTTCTCTGAGCTTCAGTTTCATCATCTGAAAAATGAGGGTGTCAATATCATCATCTTTTAAAAAAATTGAACTGTAATTGATTTACAACGTGTTAGTTTCAGGTGTACAGTAAAGTGATACATATATACATATATTCTTTTCCAGATTTCCTTCCATTATAGGTTATTACAAGGTATTGAATACAGTTCCCTGTGCTCTACAGTAGGTCCTTATTGTTTATTTTATATATAGTGGTGTGTATCTGTTAATCCCAAGCTCCTAATTTATCCCTCCCCCCTACCTTTCCCCTTTGATAACCATAAGTTTGTTTTCTATGTCTGTGAGCCTATTTCTGTTTTGTAAGTTCATTTGTATCATTTTTTTAGATTCCACATATAAGTGATATCATATGATATCCGTCTTTCTCTGTCTGACATACTTCACTTAGTATGATAAATTCTAGGTGCAAATGGCATTATTTCATTCTTTTTAATATCTTCTTAATGTATCTAATGAGATACTGTATGTGAAAATGCATTGTTCAGTGTAAATAAATGTTAGCCAAACTTGTATTTAGGGCAGATACTTTGGTTTCTAATTCTCATTGCAGTATTTCTATTTCTGTGGCACTTTCCCCTGTAATATCCAGTTCAGTGCGTGCACCCCTGGGGCTCTGAAGCTTCTGTTGCCTTCCTTCTGAGAGGAGAGTGAAATGGGGCAAGTGGGACAGGGAGGACTGTGTGTGCTGAGCATGTGATCAAGCCATGGCCGAGGTCCTCTGACCTCTGCTGACCCTGAGAACCCCGATCTCTGGCCTCCTGATGCATCCTGGTTCCAGAGCACTCACGCCCAGGGATCCTTTTTGCCCTGGGCCTGGGTATTGTCCTTCCAGGCTCCAGGCCCTCCAGAGAAGAGGGCATTGTCTGAAGGGCAAGAGTAACGAAGACCTCGCGTCTTCCTCTTCAGGGACAACCAGAGGCTGGGGAGTCTGGGTGCCTGTAAAGAGGGACCTGGGGAGCCCCCGTGGGGTGACCAGAGGTCTGGGGACCTAGTGACCAGGAAAGGGTGCAGGCAGAGGTGTGCAGAGAGGCCAGGGTACTTGGTTTCATCATCACTGTGGCTCAGATAAGGCCCTGCCAACTGGAAGCAGTGTCAGTGTGACAGAAGGGGCTACGTGGCTGAAGAGGTAGGCACGACAGTGTGTCCACAGTGTCGGACCATGCCAGGCACAAAACGGTTTCAACGTGTGATTGAGACCCCGGAGCCTGGCAAGTGGGAGGTGAGACCCTTTCTCCCTGTTGGCCTTCTGTACTGATTCCTAGAATTCTGTCTCATCTGGACTTCCCTGCACCCTGGGTTTCTGCTTTCCCCATCCTCCTTCCCATCTTCCTTCCTGATTTTCTTTCTTTGATAGGCCCAGAGTACCAAGTGCAGGCTAAATCATTTTTGTGTGTGTGTGTGTGTCCCAACGCTGTGCCTGCTGCCACACCCACCTCCAGTTCAGCAGACGTAAATGAGGTTCCCTGCCATTGTTGACCTTGTCCCCCCTTCCCTCTAGTTGTCTGGGTATGAGGCAGCCCTGCCCATCACGGAGAAGTCAAACCCACTGACCCGGGATCTGGACAAAGCAGATGCCGAGCAGATTGTTCGATTGCTGGGGCAATGTGATGCTGAGATCTTCCAGGAGGAGGGACAAATCATGCCCACATGCCAGGCGACCCAGACGCATCCCCTGGACACTGCAAGTAACGATGCCCACTGCAGCCCCACCCCACCTCAACCTCTGCCCTCTCAGACCATGGTCTGGGAGCCCCTCCCCCTCCCCCCCCAACCCACTGTCCTTTTCTTGGCTGTTGATGCCTGCCTGTTGCCTCCAGTGAGTCAACTCTGACCACCATGGTATAAGCGGCTGGAAAAGTTCAGGAAGTGCTGAAGGTACCAACTCTCCACCTGCTCCCTGCTTAAATTCGTGTTTCCCTCTACTTTTCTCTCTTCTTGGTCTCTATTTTTCCCTTTTATAAACTTCTATATCCTTATTGTCATCTTATTAATCAACAGTAATTATAATAACTATTACTGCATAATACTATATAATTGACCACGTACTTTCACACCCATTACCTTCACAAAAACCTGTAAAGTTGGTGTTACTGTCTCCATTACTTTTCGGATGGGAAAAGAAAGACTGAAGATAATCACGGTAGCTTTTGCCCAAATACACGCAGCTAGTAATTGCCAGATAATGCTGCTTCCCATCTGTGACAAAGCTGCTTTCCGTCCTTTCTGCAATAAGTGAGGGTTTTTGGGTTTTTTTGGCTGCGTTGGGTCTTTGTTGCTGAGCGCAAGCTTTCTCTAGTTGTAGCGAGTGGGAATTACTCTTCGTTGTGGTGCGCAGGCTTCTCACTGCGGTGGCTTCTCTTGTTGTGGAGCATGGGCTCTATGCATGCGGGCTCAGGAGTTGTGGCTTGCGGGCTTAGTCGCCCCGCGGCATGTGGGATCTTCCTGGACCAGGGATCGAACCTGTTTTCCCCTGCCCTGGGAGGTGGATCCCTAAGCACTGCCCCACCAAGGAAGTCCAGTAAGGGTTTGAATAAGTAGCTAAACCAGAGTTGGGGATCAGACTGAAGTTTCTTTCTCAAATCCAAGGTTCTTTCTGCTACACCATATTCTCTATGTTCTGTTCGCTTTGGGGATAAGAGGGGGGTTCTGTTACCAACCAAAAAGAGAATATGCTTCTCCCAACCTAAGCTGGGTCCTGGATACCTAGGCATTTTTCTTTTCTCAGGAGCCTGAGGGGGGCGCTGGTGGGGCTGAGTGGAGGGATACCTCTGGCAGGATGGCATTCCTCAGGTCGGTGAGTACCTTGATTGCCGGTTTTGCTCTCCGCCTTCTTGGAGTGAACCTCAGGACCATAAATCTCTTCATAGCTAAGCTCCTAGGTGGACCGCCTCCAGCTCCGGCTCTCTTTCTTCTCCAAAAGCTAGATCTCAACATGGAGTCCCATTTCTTCTGAGCCCATCTGAGCCCCACCAGTCTATTGCCAATGTCTCTACATCCCACACACCCCTAATCCATCATCTCCAAACAGCATATTTAAGAGTCAGATTCCAAGCAGTACTGGCTTAAGCACTGACCTAAGAGAATCATTATACAGCCTCTACCCTCAAGGTGTTGAAAATCCAAGATAATTGTTCCTTCCCTGTCATTACTACTTCATGTTCTCTCCGACTTGGCAGGTTTCCTTTAACCAGATGATGAAAGGTCTAGGACAGAAACCTCTTTACACCTACCTCGTTGCAGGAGGTGACAGGTAAGCCAGGCTGGCCTATGAATATTTTGTTTGGCCTAACTAGTGTCTTTTAGAAACTGAATTTGAATGCTTTCAGGTGGAGATGGTGTCCGGTTTGCTCTCCACTTCACGTACTTATGTTGCCTGACTAGCCCTCATAGGTATTGAAGTTTTTCAACCCTACAGAGTGTTTATCATGGTGCCCAACAAATAGTAGGTGCCCATTCAGTGATAGTTTTCTCTTCATTTCCTTCTCTCAAAGCAGCCCTAATAAACCATAGGTTTCTGCTTCCCAAGCAGTGCCACTGACCTTGAGTCTGTCCTCTTAGGTCTGTGATGGCCTCTAGGGAGGGGATGGAAGATAGTGCCCTGGATGGGATCGAGGAACTGAAGAAGTCTGTGTTTTCCACTGACACTCAACCAGAGACCTCTGTCTGTTCCTTCTTGTGGGGACATCAAAGCCCCAACATCCAGCCAAAGCCCATCCCCTGCCTCCTCCCTGCCCCCCAACTCCCTTCCAGCCACCCCCCACCTCATCCTGGCCCTGACATCCCCACACAATATGTTTATACCCTAGAATCCTCTTGGTGGCACTACCTCACCCATCCTCGTCTCCTAGGTGGCTGCTGGGAAGAAGAGGGTGATTGTCATCAGCATTTCAGCGGGACTCTCTGTGAGTGTGAAGACGGGCTGGGTGGATCAATTTTATAGGAAGGCAGGGAGTAGGAGTGGAACAGCATGGAAGATAAATCAACAAGATTTATCTAGATTTATCTAGAAAACAGAAAGGGCTTGTGTAAGGAATTTTGATTTTACTCTAACTAATTAGGATCCAGTTGCATGAATGTGGGACAAGGGGGGGAAGGGATCTTATCCCACAATAACTGTGTACCCATCCATTCAACAACCAAAAAGATAGAGTAGTCCAGGGCTCAGCAAACTATGCGGGCAGGTCAATCCAGCTGCTCCCTGTTTTTGTCAATGAAGTTTTACTGGAACTCAGCTATTTGTGTTTACATATTATCCATGGCTACTTTGACGCTTCAACGGTAAGACTGAGTCATTGGACAGAGATCGTAGGGCCCACAAGCTTAAAATATTTGCTTTGTAGCTCTTTACAGAAAAAACTGACCCCGGACTAGTCCCTTGCTCCTTAATGTGTGGTCCTTACACCAGCAACATCAGTATCACCTGGGATCTGTTAGAAATGCAGAATATCAGGCCTCCCCACACCAGACCTACTGAGTCTGAATCTGCATTTTAGCAAGATTACCAGGTAGTTTGTTTGACATGCACTGGGCTAGATGACCCTGAGTTTCCTCTCAGCTGTGCAGCTCGGACACTCTGAATTCACTGAGCAGGACCTGGACCCCAGCAGATGTGGAACGAGGCACACAAGGAGAGCAGGAAACTGACCTCATGGAGCTGACAGTTTAGTTCTGTATTTTCAGACTTTACCACGCAGAAGATTTCCATGGGAGAACCTGTTAGAAATGTAGGTCTAGGGAATTCCCTGGCGGTCCAGTGGTTAGGACTCAGCGCTTCCACTGCCAGGGCCCCGGGTTCAATCCCTGGTCGGGGAACTAAGATCCCATAAGCTGCACGGTGTGGTCGATAATAATAATAGTTAATTAATTTTAAAAAAATGTAGGTCCATGGGGTCTCCCCTTCAAATTCAGATCCAGTAGATTTTAACCGGGCCTAGAATCTGCACTTAAACAAGCATGTGCGGGGCATTCTGATGTACGTGGGCCTCGGGCAGAACTAGAGTAACCCCCCTCATCGAACCCTCCTCTCCCTACCACCAGGCTTCCTCTGTGGCAGGCCACATGGACTACTGCATGGATAACCCAGCGGTCTTTTTGCCAGTCCTGATTGGTTTCAACCCAGTGAGCATGGCCAGGTGAGCCTTCTGTAATGAAAAGTCCTACGCAGACCTTCTGTAATGAAAGGTCATGGCCAGTCCCCTGGGGGAGGCTGGGAGGGAACCTGTGAAAATCTACAGGATAGTCACAAAGAAGAGGTCAGGGCAAATATGCTCTTGTTCACCAAATCTCAGAATATTAAAGTAAATAAAGGTGCAAACGAAGCAACTGACAAAGGATTAATCTCCAAAATATACAGGCAGCTCATGCAGCTCAATATCAAAAAGACAAACAACCCAATCCAGAAATGGGCAGAAGATCTAAATAGATATTTCTCCAAAGAAGGTATACAGATTGCCAACAAACACATGACAGAATGTTCAACATCACTAATCATTAGAGAAATGCAAATCAAAACTACAATGAGGTATCAACTCACACAGGTCAGAATGGCCATCATCAAAAAGTCTACAAACAATAAATGCTGGAGAGGGTGTGGAGAAAAGGGAACCCTCTTGCACTGTTGGTGGGAATGTAAATTGATACAGCCACTATGGAGAACAGTATGGAGGTTCCTTAAAAAACTAAAAATAGAGCTACCATACAACCCAGCAATCCCACTACTGGGCATACACCCTGAGAAAACCATAATTCAAAAAGACACATGCACCCCAGTGTTCATTGCAGCTCTATTTACAATAGCCAGGACATGGAAGCAACCTAAGTGTCCATCGACAGATGAATGGATAAAGAAGATGTGGCACATATATACAATGGAATATTACTCAGCCATAAAAAGAAATGAAATTGAGTTATTTGTAGTGAGGTGGATGGACCTAGAGACTGTCATACAGAGTGAAGTAAGTCAGAAAGAGAAAAACAAATACCGTATGCTAACACATATATATGGTATCTAAAAAAAAAAAAGTGATTCTGAAGAACGTAGGGGCAGGACAGGAATAAAGATGCAGACATAGAGAATGGACCTGAGGACACAGGGAGGGGGAAGGGTAAGCTGGGACGAAGTGAGAGAGTGGCATGGACATATACACACTACCAAATGTAAAATAGATAGCTAGTGGGAAGCAGCTGCATAGCACAGGGAGATCAGCTCAGTGCTTTGTGTCCACCTAGAGGGGTGGGATAGAGAGGGTGGGAGGGAGACGCAAGAGGGAGGAGATATGGGGATGTATGTATATGTGTAGCTGATTCACTTTGTTATACAGCAGAAACTAACACACCATTGTAAAGCAATTGTACTCCAATAAAGATGTTAAAAAAAATAAAGTAAATAAAGGGTGTTCCTAAGCTTAGGAAGTATTTTTTTTGTTGGTTAATTTGCATATTCTCTCATTTCAGAAAGGATTGAAGGCAGCTTATAAAGGATACATAAAATATAAGAAAGCATACATTTAAAACGGAATGAAGAGGCAAGGAAAACATGGGTCAGAGGATAGAATGGGCTCAAGAAAATGCATACCACAAAGATCTGTGCTTTCATCTGAGGTGGGTCCCAAGCATCTTTTCAAAGAAGGAATACTGGGTGCAGACTGGCCTAGTCTCCTTTGCCTAGCTCCCTTATTTTAGGCCCTTTCTCCTTCATGCCAGGAGCCCCTTTGGTCCCCTCTGGCTACTCACATCTCCCACCCTGTTCCCCTTTCCTGAGATCCCTGTGCCTCCAAGTCACCTCCCTCTTATTCTCTGTCTAAATGGCCACTTCGATCTCAAAGAAGGCCAGCATATATGTTTTAAATTTTTTATTGGAGTATAGTTGATTTACAATGTTGTGTCATGAAGGCCAGCATATGAAACCAATAATGCTCAGGTGTGATTCTGTGGATGCACTGCCTTGGGAGTGTTAATAAGGAAGATTCTTGTATGAGAGGTCTGATGTTGTAGGTTTGAGGTAAGGCCCAGAAATACCTAATTTTTGCAAGCATCCTTGGAGATTCTGATGCACAGCCAAGCTGGGGAAACTCTGCTAAATAAACCATTGGAGGGGGCCACCCAATGAAGCTGAGAGCTTCCTGTCACTGGAGGTATTTCAGCGAAGGCTTGCTGACTACTCAAGAACAGCTTTGTGTGTATTTAGTGTGGTCTTGGGGAGACGGACAGCTGAGTTCCGAGAGGCTTTTTCAGCTCCCAGATTCCAGGCATGTAGTGTAATTCATACGAAGGTATAAATGATCTCTTTTAATGGAGGGCTTTCCTCACCAAAAATGTATCTGCTGCAGTGGATGCTAATTTCAGGGACCGTGACTAAGTGAAATGAAGGATTTCAAACAATGTAGGCGTGGAGATCTTCCAGTTGTTCCTTAAATCAGTGGCTCCCAAACTTGGCTGGTCTTCAGAGTCATCTGGGAAGCTTTTTAAAAATACAGATTTGGGGGCTCCACTCCAGAACTACTGAAGCTGACTCTCAGGGTGGGTGTGGAAACCAGAAATGGGTAGTTATTAAAAAAAAACAAACGTCCCCAGGTGATTGTGATGACCTGCCAAGTCTGGGGATCTCAGTTTTCAACCACACAATAAACACTGTTGCCTCTCTCTGCAGAGGAGACATGGCAATAGGACCTGTGCAAGGACCAGGACACAAGAAAGTTCTGGTCTCAGGCTGGAACTTTTTACTTGAGTGTTGGCTTTGCTCTGGGCTCAAATTGCTGAATGTTTTATTAACCCTCATCCTTGGGGTTCAGGGACACAGTGCCCCTATGAGCATCAAAGCACATCTCTCTAGGAAATTGTTGACCTCTGACCCCAATCTCAATGTGGTATTTGGTCCCAACTCTCATCTGAGGCCCTTCCTTTAGATCCTCACACATGGTCCCCCCTCTGTCTCTCTTTGGGCCCCAGAAATGACCCCATTGAAGACTGGAGTTCAACATTTCAACAAATAGCCGAGCAGATGCAGAAACTGCTGGAGAAAGCAGAAAGCTTTTGTGCTCAATCCTGCAACTGGGGTGAGATCTGCCCCCACCCCTACCCCTCACACCCACCTCCGGACGGCTTGCCACTTAGGGCCTCTGATTTTAGGTTTTGTTCCATCACGTCTAAATTCCTGGTGTCGTGTATCTACTAAAATGTGGTGAATCAAATCCTGTTTTCTCGTTTCGGTTTTCGCCTTAAGATGTTTTATTTCCAGTCTGACCCTGTCTCTTAAATCAGTCATCATTAAACACCTAAATGGTCTAGGGCAGTTTCTATTTAAAGAAGCTCTTTTGCATCTGTGTGTAGAAAGTATTGCTTCATGTCTCTTTTATATGTTTCAGTTTCAAATGTGGGCTTTAAAGAAAAAATGGGATGTAGTTTCATTCTTCTGCCTAAGACTCTGCAAAATTGGTGTGGCCCTTCTAAGCCTCCACTGCTCCTGGTGCTTTTCTCTCTGGATTGTGGCTGCACCTCACTAACATCATCTGCCCTTCCTTTGACCTTAACAAGGGCCTTAACCAAATCCCTGCCCTGCCCCACTCTGCCTGGGATGGGCACATCTGTGACATTCTCTTTGATCTTCCTTTTGCGAGATAGGAAGGCAGGAATTCCACTTTACACACGAGTTCTGCATCTTTCATCTCCCAGATGCTCATCTCTCCTCTTCTCTGCAATTATTTACTTTTAATCTCCTTTTCTCAGACACTGCTCTTATCGTTCTTCTTGCTGTAATCTCTTTATCTTTTTGGTGTGTCATATTATATATCTGTAGCGTTACAATCAACGGCTGCTTCACTGGTCTGTCCAAGGAGCATGAAATGTAGGGTTTGGATTAAAAACTGTTATTTAAAAAGTGGGGCATGGAGGAGGGAGAAAGTACTTGGCAAACAAAAACAACAACAAAACCTCTCTGAAAAACCCTTATCCCCAGCTAACAGGACACTCAATTATTCTGGCTTCCTCTCCAGAGTCCTGAATGTACCATAGAAATGACCGTAAGTGGCCCTTTCCCTCTTCTCTTCTCTTCTCTTCCCTTCCCTTCCCTTCCCTTCCCTTCCCTTCCCTTCCCTTCCCTTCCCTCCTCTCCTCTCAGTTAAGCCCTCAACCAGCACTCCTCCTCACAGCACACTGGGGGCCACCAGTCCTACAAATGCCTGCCCAGTGACCACTAAGCAGAGCGCATGTCCAAGAGCCACTAACCAGATTGCATGCACAGTGGTCACTAACTAGTAAACTCCAGGACCTTCCTTCCTCTCCCAGTTTCTCCTGGGTGTCATCACTCTGCAGCCTGAGGGCCTCAGTGGCTCCTCCCGGATGAAAGGTGGAAGTGCCACCAAGATCCTGCTGGAAACCCTGTTACTGGCAGCTCACAAGACCGCGGACCGGAGCATCGCAGCATCTGCGAGGTAGGGAGGGTCTGGACCAGAGAGAGATCAGAGTCAGGCAGTGGGTGGGAGGGTGCAGGCAGGGGAATGGCAGATCCAGATCTGGAGGGTGCGCTGGTAGCAGCAAGACTGCAGCCCTGCCGTTCGTTCCCTGGGAAAGGAACTGGCAGGGGGACGCCACTGTTCCCGTCACACAATCACAGAGTCTGGCTTGTTTCCAATGGACCCTGGGCTCCTCAGGTCCAGGCCTGATCCCTGTGCACGCCTGGGACATCCAAAGCTAACCTAGCTTCCTAGAATCTTTGATGTGGGGATGGTCCAGGCCATGCAGGGTAGAGGTCGTCCTGCTGTGGGCCTGCCTCCCTCACCAGGGTCTCTCGCCTAGCTTCCACGTCGCTCACTTACTCCCTCGTCAACTCTCTGATCCCACCCTCCTCCCAGTGCTCTGGATGCCCTATCCTCCTCTCTGCTCTTTAGTCTTCTTCCCGCTGAAGCCCGCTTTGCCCCTGTTGAATGCAGTCTGGCTCTACTTACCGCTCCCCCACGAGGGACCAGCAGAACTTAGTTTCAAGAGAATTGTGCCTTTCCCAGGGTGGGATAGACTCAGGCTTCCTGAGGGGGCACTGGGCCTGCCCTGGGAGCTGGTGGACTTTCTCCCAGATGCCTTCTGGAAATCCTGCGGACATTTGAGTGGGCTCATCAGGTGACCTAGTGTCAAAGCCCCAAGATCACCGCCCTGATGAAGCAAGTCAGCACCAGGTGTGTAGATGTGTATTTGGAGGGGGAAAGCGGCCTGGGTGGGGAATGTCATGAGAGCAGCGGAGACTCTACGAGACATGATAACATGGGGAGGGTAGCGGGTCTGCGTGTTGGAGGGTCAGGGTAGGCTTTTGGTTCGTTTACTCCTGTGCTCTTCTGCGTGTGTCTTTCTCTGATCTCTGGATTTTCTTCACGGTGATCTCTCATGTCCCGACCTCTGACCCATTCTCGGCCTGGAGAAAAAAGGCTGAGTATACCTGGTTGGCTGGCAGACCCTGGGCATCATTGCCATCATGGATGGAGTAGAGTGCATCCACACCTTTGGTGCTGGTGGGACCCCGGTGTTGACTTACTTCCCGATTCCTCCTGATCCAAACCAACTGGTCTGCTCTCCAAATTCTTTCCTACTCCCAACCCATGGAGGCTCCTCATTCAATGTCCATCCTGCCCTATCTAGATAGGCATTTCAGTCAAATGCTCCTTCCTTTGAACCCTCACTCAGCCCTTGATCCTTCAGCTCCCAGCCCCACGCTTAGCTATGGCCTCTCAAGTGTGTTACTGCTTACCCTGCACCCCACTTGCCACTTTCCTCCCAGCCCCACTGACACCTCCCCAAACCTAGAACCTTCCTCTCCTTTGAAGCCCATCACTCCTCTCTCCCTGTCCTTAACCTGCCCAGATTTCCAAGATGTCCATGGCTTTCTCATTGGTGATCACAGTGACATGTTTAACCGGAAGGCTGAGCTCATCAACCAGGTGGGAAGATGACGGGGCTTGGGGAAATTGGGAAGATAACTGGTGTGCAGAGGGTGGGAGAAAAGAGGAAGGTGGAAACAGGTAGGGGAGTACAATGGGATTCCCTTCTAGAGAGGGAATATGGGTTAAAGGTCATGAGGCCTTGGGGCAGCACAGCAACAGTGTGGAAAGCTCTGGATTCACCCCCCAAACCTGGCTCTGGTCCAGTGCTTTTCCGTCAGCACGCTGCATTATCTTGGGCAAAACACTTTACCTCTTTGAATCTTGGTTTTTACATCTGTAGATAAAAGCTCTGCATTAGATGTCCTCTGAGGGCCTCTTCGGTCTTCAAGTCTATATGCTGGAGTTTTCCATGGGAAGGACTCTCTCCTCTTTTTCTGCCCCAGGGTCCCCATTTCTCCTTCTCCCAGGAAGACTTCTTGACTTCCATCCTGCCATCCCTTGCAGAAATTGACACTGTGGTCTTCATTTTTACCCTGGATGGTGAGAGGGATGATGGGAGTGGTGGGGTGAGGGGATGGAGGCAGCTGAGTCACTCAGAGGAACTATCACTTTTCTGGGTCTTAGGGCACCTGCTCAGAGGGAGGGACGGGAGTGTGTGTCCCCATTGCCCAGATGAGGAAGATGAGATTAAGGGAGTATAATCATGACCACACAGATAAGACAGGAGTCAGGATTTGACCTCAGGTTTTGGGACTCTAAATCCATGGTTTATTTCACCATACAAGATAAATTTCAACCATATTCATGAATTGAGCCTGATCCATTTATTCATTCATTCAACAAATATTTTTAGAGTACCTGTCACGGGCCCGATAATATCCCAGGGATAGGGGATATAGCAGAGAATGATCATCTGTGATATTTTAAAGAACTGTATTTTTAAAGAAAGTTGTAATTACAATAACAATACATTTTTTAATTATCAAAGTTTTAGAAAATACAGAAATCAAAAAAAGGAAAAACATCATCCATAATCTACCTTCTTCCGAAAACAAAAACAAAAACCACGCGGACAAATTTTGAGACTGTCTCTCTACTTTTTTATGCATATGTAAATATAGTTATATAAAAATAGGATCATACATGACATGCTGTTTTTAACTTGCTTCTCTTTATTTAAAATTATGAACACCTTTCTGTACTAATATATCTACATCATCATTTTTAATGTCATGTGTTCCACGGTATGTGGACTGTAATTTGTTTACTCTAGCCTCAGTTGTCAAACACTATAGTTTCAATATTATGGCTTTTTCTAAAATGCTGCACAGAATATCCTTATACACACATTTGACTCTCTCATTAGGATAAACCTCCAAAAGTGGAATCACTGGGTCAAAGGGTGTTTAAAATTTAAAGGCTTTTGATGCTTGTGGTTACCTCCAAAGAGGTTTATAAACAAAGTGTAAAATTGGTTGTTCCCCACAACCTTAAAATAGTGGGTAACGTTGTTCTTTTTAATCTTCGCTAATCAGCAAAGGAAAAAAAGTGAAACAAAACGAAAGGCATTTCCGTGGTAATTTATATTTAATTACTATGGAGATTGGCTCCTTAAAGATATATATACGCCATTGAATTTTTTTCTTTATTGTACTGCTTCTTCATATCTTTTGGGCATATTCACCCATTCTTTTTTTTTAAAATTTATTTATTTATTTTTGGCTGCGTTGGGTCTTCGTTGCTGCGCGCGGGCTTTCTCTAGTTGCGGCGAGAGGGGTCTACTCTTTGTTGCAGTGCACGGGCTTCTCATCGCGGTGTCTTCCCTGTCGCAGAGCACGGGCTCTAGGGTGTGCGGGCTTCAGTAGCTGTGGCTCACGGGCTCTAGAGCACAGGCTCAGTAGTCATGGCGCACGGGCTTAGTTGCTCCGCGGCATGTGGGATCTTCCCGGACCAGGGCTCGAACCTGTGCCCCCTGCACTGGCAGGTAGATTCTTAACCACTGCGCCACCGGAGAAGCCCCTCATTCTTTATTAGGATACTTTTTTTCTTCCTAATTTATAAGAGAGAGTGTATATAGCAAGGACAGTAGCCTTCTTTTGCTGTTCCATGTTTTCCCCCAGTATATTATTTTTAATTTCTACGTTTTTGATGTAGAGACATTTAATTTACATTTTGGCATAGTCAAATCTATCAATCTTTGTGTGTTTCTTTTTTTCTTGATTCTGGTTTTTATCTTTTTAAATGTACTGAAATTGAAATACGGAGGCTTCTTTTAGAGCTTATAAATATTTCGTTGTAGAAATAGTTTGATGTAACTCAGCCCACACTTTTATTTTGAAAAATTTCAAATCTGCAGAAAACTTGCAAGAATAGTATTAATGATACTATAGTGTACTATAGTATACTATACTCTACTAATAATACAGTGAACACCCCTATGCTTTTTGCTAGATTCACCACTTATTAACATTTTGCCACAGCTGCTTCATCTCTCTTTACCCCTGAATCATTTGAAAGGCGATTGGAGATATGATACTTGACACAAATTACTGCGTTCCCTAAGAGCAACGGGCATTTGTCTATATAATTATAATTATCACACTTGAGAAAATGACCATTAATACAACACTATTATCTCATATACAGACTATATTCAAATTTCCCCAATTATTCCTGTGTTGTTCTTATCTTCCAGATCCAGGATTTGAGCAAGGATAATGCGTTGCATTTCGTTATCGTGTTTCTTTAGTTTTCTTTAATCTGGCTGAGTTCCTCAGTCGTTTTTGATGTCTTTCATCAAAACACTGATATTTTAGAAGTCTAGACCAATCGTTTTGCAGAATGTGCCTCACTTTTGATTTGCCTGATTGTTTCTTCATTATATTCACGTTAAATTTTGGGGCAGGAGTCCTGCATAGATGAGGCTGTGCCTTTATCAGTGTATCACATGTAGAGGCTCCTAATATCAGTTTGTCCCTTTATTGGTGATGCTGCGTTTGATCATTTGGTCAAGGTGGTGTCTGTTAGATTTCTTTGTATCTTATTCCTCAGCAATCTTTCACCCACGGTTTTAGCATCCACTAATGATTCTTGGTTGAATCAATTATTACTATGATGGTTTTAAAATGGTGATTTTTCTATTTCTATCCTTCTGTCTCCATTTACTAGTTGGCATTCTTCTGTAAAGAAAATCTTTCTTCTCTCCCCCCCTTATCTACATTTGTTTGTTTAGTATTGATATGGACTCATGAATTGTTGTTGTTGTTGTTGTGTGTTTTAATCCATTCCTGTCATTATTCTTTTTTTGCGGGGGGCGGTACGCGGGCCTCTCACCACTGCGGCCTCTCCCGTTGCGGAGCACAGGCTCCGGACGCACAGGCTCAGCGGCCATGGCTCACGGGCCCAGCCGCTCCGCGGCATGTGGGATCCTCCTGGACCGGGACACGAACCTGTGTCCTCTGCATCGGCAGGCGGACTCTCAACCACTGCGCCACCAGGGACGCCCTATTATTCATTTTAATGCTCAAAATGAGAGCTCATTCAAGCTGGCCTTTGTGTTCTTGTGACATATCTATCCACATTAGCATTTGAACACTCTGCTGTATTTCTTTTTGCAAAAAAAATTTTTTCTTGTTCTCTTATGCAATATACTCTTGTGCCTTGCATTTTTGCTTAACAAAATATACTGAAAATCACTCCACTTCAGTTTAAAAATCTCTTCTTCATTATTTACATTTGTGTTTGTGTGTATTTGTGTGTGTGTGTGTGTGTGTGTGTGTGTGTAACCCAGTCATCTCCTATGCAGGAGCACAAAAATGTTGGGCCACATTCACCTTATACTTTCCCTGGTTCCAGCCCTGGAATCAATCATTTTCCAAGGAGCCCTGGTTGTTAGTGGAGATTGGTATTTAGAAATCTAGGTGCTAGGTATGCTCACTGCTACTGGTTTGTTTTGCCTCTAAGCCCTTTCAGTAGAAACAACAAGGAAATATATATATGTATGTGTGTGTGTATTCACACACACACACACACACACACACACACACACACGTACTCTCCTCCAATATCATCAGTGTATTTACCCATTTGTTCAGTCCTACAGTAAATACCAAACAGTTTTGGAATTGCTACCCTAATACGACTGTCGTCAACAAACTTACCAAGAAGTGGTTGAGATTTTTGCAGTTCTTTTTGTCCTTTGATCACATCCCACTAGATAAAGTGTTCAAAAGTCACTTTCATTAATTTTTTTCTTTCTCTCTGTGGTTATGTTATTAATGTGATATATAGTTAGGCTCATTTATTTTTATTTGTTTTAAATTTTAGAGTTTTTTCAGTTTTTGGTCTAATTTTATCTTTTGAATATGTAAAACATAACATGATTTAAAAGTCAGAACTGTATAAAAAGATGTCCCATTTCCTTCTCTATGCCTTCCATCCCATTCCCACTCATCCCTGTAAGAAACCAATTTCATTACTGACTGACTTATCTCCTGTGTTTCTTTTTACAAAAAAAGTGTGCGTGTTCGTGTATGCTTTGCATTTCCTTCTTTCTTTCTTTTTTAAAAAATTAATTAATTAATTTGTTTATTTTTCGCTGCGTTGGGTCTTCATTACTGTGCGCAGGCTTTCTCTAGTTGCAGAGAGCGGGGGCTACTCTCCGTTGCGGTGCACAGGCTCCTCATTGCAGTGGCTTCTCTTGTTGCGGAGCATGGGCTCTAGGCACGTGGGCTTCAGTAGTTGCGGCTCGCAGGCTCTAGAGCGCAGGCCTATGGAACTCTTCCTCATTATTTTTCACATTTGGGTGTGCTCACACATTTGCGAGGGTTATTCGGGCAGTCTCTTACGTAGGGCATTTGAACTGTGTGTTCATGTAAATACATGAAATATACTCATTTTCTAATGGTATTGTGGTCTTGATGATCCCTTGATTTTGAGTCCTTTATAAATTAGAGATATTAGTCATTTATTTCTGCTATACAGTTGACAATTGAACAAGGCGGGGGGTTAGGGGCACTGATCCTCTGCACAGTGGAAAATGGTGTAACTTATGGTTGACCCTCTGTATCCATGGTTCCTCCCTATCCACATTCCTGGTATAGGATCACTGTAGTACTGTACTATTTACTATTGAAAAAAGTCTGCGTATAAGTGGACCCTTGCAGTTCAAACCCGTGTTGTTCAAGGGTCAACTATATATTCCATTTTCTTTGGGTTTTATCCATTCAAAAGTCTTTCCTTTAATTTTTCTGGGGTAGAACTTATCAATCTTTTATTGAATTTGGATCTTGATGAACAGAAAGCTCCCCTCACGCCACACCCACCCCCAGATTGTAAAGGAACTCCATCTGTGTTTTCTTTTAGTACATGGTTTCTTCTAGTGAAAGTGGTCTTTCTCTTGCTCTCTTTTTTTTTAAACCATTTTTTAAATTAAAATAGTTAATTTACAATGTTCTGTTAGTTTCAGGTGTACAGCAAAGTGATTAAGTTATATATATATATATATATTCCTTTGCAGATTCTTTTCCATTATAGGTTATTATAAGATATTGAATATAGTTCCCTGTGCTATACAGTAGGTCCCTGTTGTTTATTTTATATACAGTGATGTGTAAATGTTAATTCCAAACTATCATTAAGAGTTTATTCTTGTGTATAGGGTGAGGTATGGACCCAATATTATATTTTTCTAAATGACTATCCAATTGTCCCAATATATATACTTAAAGTTAATCTTTTCCTGAGTGATTTGAGATGCTACCTGTATCAGATACTTAGTTCGCATGTGCACTGGTTTATTTCTGGACTTTCTTTCTGTCTATTGAAGTGCTGGTACCATACTGTTTAATTATAGATGCTTTATGGTAAAGTTAATGTCCGATAGAGTTAGTCCTCTCTTCAACACTCTTCTATAGAATTGCTGCCCTTTTTCCACATGAACTTTAAAATGAACGTGTCCAGCTTCAAATTATATAAAATTTAAAGTATTTTTTTGTTAATGGTAGTTAATGGTATAAATGGTTGGTGATATAAATGGTTAATGATATAACCCAGATTTGATTGATCTCTCCCCCACAGGGCAGTCTGACATGCAGCCTATAGCATCAGTACTGCATACTGGCCAGCTTCATTCTGATTGGTCAGATTTCTATTCTTATACTCAGTGTCTTTGTCGATCACTTGTTAAGTATTTTCAGTATACCCCCTGCTAGGGGTTTGTGTGACCAGCTATTTATAGAGTTGCAGAATAAGGAGGTAGAAGTAGTAGCCTGTTTCCTCAGCCTGGCTAGGACCAAATACTTAACCCCCTCAATTCCTTTACTGGACTCCTGTTGCCCTCAAAGTTTGGTAATAGATATTATAAGTGCAAGGTATGAGGGCCAAGAACAGGTGATAGTTATTCCCACAGTACCACGTGTTTGTATAACATTTCAGTTTTCATTGTGCTTTCACATCCGTTATCTCATTCATCCGGGAAATGATTGTGGCAAAGTTGGAAATGCCCTGGTCACTAAATCAGGAGACCTGGATTTGGGTCTTGATTCTACATCTCACTATCAAGTTTACTTCTGACCTCTAGTTTCCACATATGTAGAAACAGGGACAGAAAAAACCTATTCCATAGGGTTGTTATAAGGATTAAATTGAATTAATTTTTCAACAAATATGTATTGATCGGTAATCATGTGTCAGCCATTATCAAAAAGAGTGGGGCTCTTGAGCAAAATAAGACACCATCTCTGCTCTCAAGGAGCCTTTAGTTTAGTGGAATGAATCCCAGGATTTCCACTTCTCCCCTGTCTGGTACCTGAGTAACAAGAGGAAGGTGCTGGTAAGAGCAAAATCCTACTGTGGCAGGACTCAGAGAAGATATCTGTCTACCAAGGACCAAAACCACAAATATGTGGGGAATTCCCTGGTGGTCCAGTGGTTAGGACTCAGCACTTTCACTGCCATGGGCCCAGGTTCAATCCTCGGCTGGGGAACTAAGATCCTGCAAGCTGTGCAGAACGACCGAAAAAAAAAAAAGAAAAAGAAAAGAAAAAAGAAAGAAAACCCCACAAATATGTGAAGCTGCCACGTTTGCCGGGAATGGCCCTGGCTGAGGAATGGCCCTGGCTGATGAATGGCCCTGGCTGATGGAGCAAATTATGTCTACTTTTTTGGGGGGAGGGGCCATGCTGAGCAGCATGTGGGCTCAGACCCATGCCCCCTCCATTGGAAGCATGGACCCTTCACCACTGGACTGCCAGGGAAGTCCCTATGTCTGCATTTTTGATCCCTGGATTCCTGTCAGATAATAAGGCCCTGTTCACCCTGCTGCTCTAATGTCCCCTAATTTTCAATATCCCCATGTGTCTGCCCTATTTAGAAGTTCCAGCATGAGCTGAGCACCAAGTGGGTGCTGAATACGGTGAGTACAGGAGCCCACGTGCTTCTTGGGAAGATCCTCCAAAACCACATGTTGGACCTCCACATTTGCAACTCCAAGTTCTTCTGGCGGGCTCTGGCCGTGCTGCAGCTAGGACATGATGGGATGGGGCTGGGTGGGGCCTGGCTTCAATGCCTAGGCTGCCATAGGAGGGTGTATTTCAGAGGTATGTAGATGTGAAGGGGTAAGGATTGACTTTTCTCTTATGCCTCTCCTCCTCCTTCTATCAGGCCCAGCCTCTCCTCTAAGAAGTATATGTGCACACATGGGTGCGTGTTTGTGCAATTATAACTATTAGGCAAGATTCTTTCAGTTACCCATATGTGTGACAGAAATCCAATTTGTACTGGTTTAACTAAGCAAGGCAAACGATTGGTTCATGTAACTGACCAGTCCCAGGGTAGCTAGATCCAGAAACGCAAAATGACATGCTCCAGAACTTTCAGCCCTTAGCTCTGCTTTCCTCTGTGTTGCTCTCATGCTCAGGCAGGTTTTCTCCACTAGGTGGCGAATTGGCCGCTAGCAGTGCCAGCCTAACATCCTACCAATTTAGCAACTCTGGCGGAAGGAGAGCTTATCTGTCCCTGCGATTCCTGCAGATACCTGGGGGAGGGTCCTCAGTGGTTTGTCTTGGGTCACATGCCCATCTCTGAGCCAATCACTGTTCTGCAGGGGAAAGCAGCCCTCTGCCCAGGCCTGGGTCACCCATGCTCTCCCTTTAAGATGGCAGTGGAGGAAGGGGCATGAAGTGAGCCTCAATCAAACAGTGTGGCCTGAGAATGGGGGAGCAATAATTCCCCAGAGGAAAATCAAGGTGCTGATACCAGGAGGGGGAGGCATGGACGCTGAGCAGATAGCACAACAGATGGTCCTGAGAGTAGGGTTGCTAGATATAGCAAAGAAAAATATAGGACACTGGTTAAATTTGAATTTCAGAGAAATAAAGAATAATTTTTTAGCATAAGTATATCCCATGCAATATTTGAGACATACTTATACTAATTTTTTAAAATTATCCATCTGAAATTCCATTTAACTGGGTATCCAATATTTTTATTTGCTAAATCTGGCAACTCTACATGAAAGGAACCCATGAATGGGCATTTAGTGAGCAGCCATCAGGGCCCTAAAACAACCTTCTCGAATGAGTAAAACCAACCAACTGGGAAAAAAAATCCTTTATGCTTTTCTAGTTCCTGGAGGTGGGGCAGGTAGGGGGAGCCAGAGCTACCTATGATCCAGTCCTTGCCATCCCAGAGTGGCCCATCTAATGGAGGAGAGACAAAACCAACACTTGAAACACAGAACAATTAAGTGTCAAATTGCATGATCCTTACTGAAGTCCAATAGAACATCAAAGAAGGTAGGATCTATGCACTATAGCAAAGCAGAAGACTTCATGGAAGAGGTAATGTTTGAGCTGGGCCTACTGGTTATGGCTTGGAGAGGTGAAGGACTGAAGGGCACTTTTGTTAGAAGGAGTATTAGCCAAGGCCCAGAGGGGGGCTAGGCATGATATGTGAGGGACACAGGTTTGGAGTCACTTTACAGAGTGGTGAGGGAGCAGGAAGGGGAGAAACTGCGGAAGATTAAAAGCCAGACAGGAATTGGGACTTGCCAAACACAGCTAGATCTGTGCTGTCCAGGACGGTAGCCACCAGTCACACGTGGCCATTGAGCACGTGACCTGAACTCCAAATTTTATTTAAAAAGTGAAGCATGTAAAGTTTTCATTAAATGCAACTCTATTCTTTTGGTAGGACTCTATTTGACTTTTGCATTGAAATTCAGCACCTGAATTGAAATGTGCTGTCATTGTAAAATACAAACTGGACTTCAAAGACATGGTACAAAAATATTGTAAAATATCTCCCTAATAATTTTTAATACTGTTGACGTGTTGAAATGATATTTTGGATCTATTGGATGAAATAAAACATGACTAAAATTTATTTCACCTGTTTCTTTTTTAATGCTGTGCTAGAAAATTTTAAATTACATATGTGACTCATTATATTTCTATTGGACAGTGCTGAGCTAGATAGAGAGGAAAAGGGTGGTGAAGAAAATAGAAGCAGTGTTTGCAGATGAACTGTCTTACAGCAGTATAGAGGATGGATGTGGTTAGGGAGGAAACCAGAGGGAATGAGTGCGGTTTAAGATGACCAACCTTTGGGATTGCGGGGACATGGCCAAAAGTACGACCAATTTGACATTAATTCTCCAGTGTAACCCAGCCAACCAAGGCCCACCACCACCCCTTTTACCCCAGTTTTCCTTTACAGCTGGGGATTGTAAGTTTGGGATTACCTACAGGGATGAATTCTCTACAGCTGGTCTTCGAGATCCCAGACTCCCATTCTCCCTTGACCCCATTCTCAGCTCCCATGGCTTTCTAGCCCAGCATGGATGTTACCACTTCTTCCACAGCGGTTCTAGGGACAGCCCAAGTCTCGATGCATCGAGAGCCTTCTCCAGGCGATCCACTCCGCTCAGCCACTGTCGGATGATATTCGAGCAGCTCCCATCTCCTTCCACGTCCAGGTTGCACGAGAGAAGGAACAGGTAACTCGCGAACTGCTAGTCATCTAGCAAACACTTACTACTTACGATGTGTCAGGAACTTGTCTCGGCACTGAGTTTACAAAGCTCAGTGACACTCTGCAAGGAACTCCCCTGTTCATGGAGGAGACCTGATTGTGACAAGTAGTCAGAGAAGTGTGAAAAAGGTACTACAGGGGTGCCGAAAAGGAGTCTTCAGTTTTGCCTAGGAGGGGAGTCAGGAAAGAGAGGGAGAACTGGGTCACGAACCAGTCTTGATGAATAGGAGTTTTCTGGGTCAGGATGAAGGCTACTCTCTGCTCTTGACCCACCTCATTCCAATTTCTGGTGTTTGAAAACTCCCTTCTATTCTTTTTTTTAATTTATTATTTTATTTCTTTATTTTTGGCTGCGTTGGGTCTTCGTTGCTGAACGCCGTCTTTCTCTAGTTGCGGCGAGCGGTGGCTACTCTTCGTTGCGGTGCGCGGGCTTCTCATAGCGGTGGCTTCGCCTGTTGTGGAGCACGGGCTCTAGGGTGTGCGGGCTTCAGTAGTTGTGGCTCGCGGGCTCTAGAGCGCAGACTCAGTAGTTGTGGCACACAGGCTTAGTTGCTCCGCGGCATGTGGGAATCTTCCGGGACCAGGGCTTGAACCCGTGTCCCCTGCATTGGCAGGCGGGTTCTTAACCACTGCGCCAGCAGGGAAGCGCCTCCGTTCTATTGTTGCATCCAACCTGGTATCTTCTGACTCCCACACTGAATGCCCTAGCTCCTCCAGGGTTCTTCCTCAGACGACCTCACTTTCTCAGGCTTCAGTTCTCGCTGCCTCCTCCCCACAGGTGATCCCCATAGCCTTGCTGAGCCTCCTGTTCCGGTGCTCCATCCCTGAGGCCCAGGCATACCTGGCTGCAGCTCCCTCTGTCCGTGAGGCTGTCAGGAGCGCCCTCACCCGGCCAGGTCGGAAGCGCAACGCCGACCTCTTGGAGACCCTAGATCGTGCTGTGCCGTGAACTGGTGTTTCTGGGTGCGCGGAGGGGGCCAGCCCACCCCACGGGGACTTGTTGGGCCAGCAGCACGTGAAGTGGGAGGAGAGGCCCAGTCCCCAGGAGCACCAGCCGCCCAGGCTGGGGAGACAGCGTCTCTCTCCTTTGGGGAGATCTTGCTGTTCACCCAGTGGTATCCACTTTCCCTGGCATATTCTGATTTCAGAAATAAAACTGAATGTCTTGTTTCAAAAAGTTCACTTTCTACTGAGATCAGAGTCAATAGATCAGAGGTGGAACAAGATGAGTGGCATGGGTCGGTCCCAAAAGCAGTTTTGTTTCTTTATGTCTCCACCTGCTTCCCAACTCCACTTCAGTGGTCACTGACCCAAACCTTATTCCAGCTTCTTTATATCCCCCCATCTCCAACACGTAGGTGCACACGTGCACGCACACACACATACTTCACTCCTACAAAGAATCACACAAGCAAGGAGAGGTGGGAACTTAGATAACTCCAAGGAAGGAGGGAAGAAGTTGTGTCCCCAACATAGGACACTCAGAAAATAACAGTCCCAATTAGGCATGACAGGATCATCACTAGAATGAGTGCTACATCCACACACTGGCCCATAAAGTGAGAGTTGCATCCCTACCCAGTGTTTGTAAAGGGAACATAAGGAACTCTGAGGGCGCCAGAGTGGGACCCAACACACACTAGAGACCCCACTCTGAACATTTTAGACCTCAGCTGTCACCTGTTTTGACAAATCAAAGGCACCCTCGCTCATCCCAGACCCATGCCAGCTCTTCGGCGCCTATGACTGTGACCATGGTAGTAGAGAGCTGGCTCCCCCTTGTGGTCAAGAAGTACCTAGGCAATAGACACTCAGGAACTCTCTGGGGACAAAACCTCTCTGAAGCTCACTTGAACCTTTCTGCAGGAGGGTGACGGCTAAGGAACCAAATAGATTTCAGTTTTATGAAGATAGAGTATTCAATCTTTTAAAGACAGCCATAAGTTCCCTCTCTATATCTGTGGGCCTCCGGCCCCTGTCTGAACTCTTTTCCTGTTGTATTGATATATCTACGTTTACTTTGCTACCTTAGGTCTTTAACCAATGCCCCTTTCCTCAACACCATTCCCCTAGTGCCTTCTGACTGCCATCGATTTGGTTTTTATCCTCCACAAACACCTCTTCCTAACTCTACAACTCAAGAGGAGTAAAGTTAGGAAAAGATCCTGCAGAGGCTCTCAGCTTCTCTTTACCCACAACTCTCCCCCATGCACTTACATTATGTGAATTCGTCTCTCATCCTGGCATCACGAGCAAGGTCAAGTCAGAGAAGATACCCAGCTTTCCAGGGCTGGAGGAGGCAGAGCCAACATGTGCAGTAGCCCTACTCCCACATGTGGGATGGATAGGGTGCAGGGTCAGATTTCCCCAAGGCTGGATGCAGAAGGACACTAGAAGTCCAGAGGTTTTTTTTTTACTTGCCAAGTACTTGGATGGTGCAAAGATAGCAAGTGAATTCAATTCGTATACAGTTGCATGTGATACTCAGGTGTTATAAACGAGGTGGTATACTTGCTCACCTTGGGAAACTTTAGAGGCTGGGCTACACTCTCACATTGTAGAGGAGAAAAAAATGACTAAGATCTGATCCCCACCCCCTAGGAACTCACAAGCAGATATGAGCAATTGCAATACAGGACAGAGATCATTGAAGTGGATTCCAACAGCAGGCTAGGTACAGAGAACTGCCAGAATTGTTCTGAGGATATTACAGGGTAGGCCAAGAATCAAGGACAGCTTTGGAAGAAGGAGGTTGGGGTGGAGTGAGGGAACATTCAAAGAAAACCTGGGAATGTTTGGAGGTTTGCATGGGTGTGTGGATCCAATATCAGAGAGTCAGGTCATTGTCAGTGGAACCTGAGCTCTAGGAAGAGCTAAAGAGATTCAAAGATTTTTAAAGACCTATCCAGATGCAAAAGGTAGGGTGACAACTTTTACCACTGTTTAGAGAAAGCAAATATCTGAGGGCAAGAACAGCTAGAAAGTAATCTGTATCAACACAAGACAGTAATTTCTCCTGAAATGACTAAAAGGGTCTAACCCAAAAGACTGGGTTGGATTGTGGAGGATGAAGGAAACAACTTCCTGCTATATCTATTTACTAGATCAAAAATAAGAGGTTCAGGGGCAGAAGGTATGTGGATATTGCATATACTTCATATTTAATGTATTTAAAGATGGAACTCATGATCTCTCCCCCAAGTCAGCTATTCTTTTTATAACTTAGGTGGTCTGGAATATTAGGGTGGAGCAAGTTCCCATGGGACAGTAAGGTTGAAGGAGGATTTGGGGACGAGGTGAGAGGTAGAGGGGCCCCAACATGGCTCTACGGATGGGCCCTACAAGCACAGCAAACTCTCTAAGATCCAATGTAAACTCAGGTATGGTTTAGAGAGGTGGGTCAAATCCTAGGGCTGACGGGACAGGCACTGCACCTAGGTCGCAAAATGCTTTCATCCTGGAAAAGAGAAGAACTGGGCTTAACTGTAAACTAGTGGCTGGGGTGCTGTGGTATGAGAGAGGTAGGAAGACGAGCCTTGAGCACCTTGTAGTGCCAGAAAGTAACAACGTCCTCATAAAAACAAAAGGATGGGGTCATGTCAAAGGGACCCAGGAGTCCACCTGAAAGAGCTCTCAGTGGCCAGAGCTGGAACAATTTGAGCAATGATATAAATAATGCCGTATTGGACTATAACACAAAGTAGAAATTAGGTGAACATGAGTTCATACTGTTATAATAAAATAATTGAATAAATAAATAAGGAGCCAAATCTCCCTAACACAAGAATTCCAAATAACATATGTAGATATACCCCACTCCAGGAAATGGAGCTTAATAACCTCTCACTCTCTACAACTCCTGTATGGGCAAAAGTAAGAGGCTTGCTTCCAAAGAACAGAGTATTGGAAGAGAAAAATAGAAACTTCACATTGGAGAAGTCTGGCAAGCACTACCTTAACCGAGTACTGGAAATTAGTGTCACCAATTGATATCATGTACCACCTGATACGATGTGACGAGAAGGGCATGTCACCTCAGTATTCTTCCCCAAACCTCAGTCTAAGCATAAGGAAAACATTAGAGAAACCCAAATTTAAGGACGTTTTACAAAAGAACTGCCTAGTACTCCTCAAAACAATAAAGGTCATAGAAAACAAAGATTGAGAAACCAAACAACAGTTGTTACTGTATAGGACCTACGGTACTCAAAGGAGAAATAAACAAATCCACAATCATAGTGAAACTTTTATACACTTGTCTTAGTAATTGGTGGAACTATATTCAGTATCCTGTAATAAACCATAATGGAAAAGAATATATATGTATAACTGAATCACTTTGCTATACAGCAGAAATTAATACAACATTGTAAATCAACTATACTTCAATAAAATACATTTTTTTAAAAAAGAGACAAGAAAGAAAACTATCAGGAAAAAAAAAAAAAAGAAAGAAAGACTGAGAAACCATCACAAGATCAGAGGAGATGAAGGAGGCATGACAACTAAATACAGGTCCTGGACAAAAAAAAGACGTTAGTGGAAAAACTGGTGAAATTCGAATGAAGTATGGAGTTTAGTTAATAGTGAATGTACCAATGTTGTTCACATAGATTTTTCAAATATAATAAAGTTAAAACATTAGGTGAAACTGGATGAAGGACATACAGTAACTCACTGTGCTATCTTTGCAACATTTCTGTAAATCAAAAACTTCCAAGATAAAGTGTTCTTTTCTTTTAAGGTCAAATTTATTGTCATAAAGTTATTCATAATACATTATTATTTTTTTCCTTGTTGGTTATCTATTTTAAATACAGCAGTGTGTATGTACATTTCAATCCCAAACTCCCAGTCTATCCCTCCCCCCAGCCCTTCCACCTTGGTAACCATAAGTTTATTCTCTAAGTCTGTGAGTCTGTTTCTGTTTTGTAAATAAGTTCATTTGTATCCATGTTTTTTAGATTCCACATATAAGTGATATCATATGACATTTTTCTTTCTCTGTCTGACTTACTTCACTTAGCATGATAGTCTCCAAGTCCATCCATGTTGCTGCAAATGGCATTATTTCATTCTTCTTAAAGGCTGAATAATATTCCATTGTGTATATGTACCCCACTTCTTTCTCCATTCCTTTGTTGATGGACATTTAGGTTGCTTCCATGTCTTGGCTATTGTAAACAGCGCTGCAATGAACATTGGGGTGCATGTATCCTTTCAAACCATGTTTTTCTCTGGATATATGCCTGGGAGTGGGATTGCTGGATCATATGGTAGCTTTCAAATAAAGTTTTTTAAAAAATAAAATTAAAATTACTACAGTAACAAGTATATGGGAAGAGGTAAGTAGAGTTATAATATCCTAAGGCCCTTGATTTATCCGTAAAAAGGATAAAGGTTTTGATTAATTTAAGAATTTGATAGGTTAAATGTGCATATTGCATTTTAAAAAGAACCCACTAAAAATGGGGTTGGCGAACCCTTTCTATAAAGGGATGGACAGGAAATATTTTCGTCTTTGCAGGCCCCCTGTAGTCTTTGTTGTAACTACTCAACTCTACTGTGGTAGCATGAAAGCAGACAGACTGTGTACAAAATGGGTGTGGCCGTGTTCCAAAAATTCTTCATTTACAAAAATAAGCAGCAAGCTAGATTTGACCCACCTGCCACCATTTGCCAACCCCGGCACTAAAAGAACAGAAACAGACAGTATAACTTCCAGTTAGTAAAGGGGAAAATAGAGAGATTAATTTACAATACTTAGTTGTCTAAATAAAGACAAGAAGAAAGAGAAAAATATAAAACAGGAAAAAATAGGAAGTGCAAAGTAAAAGGGTAGATTTTGGTCTAATTATTTTAGCAATTACATTAAATGTAAGTGGAATACATGCTCCAGTTAAAATCTACTTATTTTAGATGTATCACTTACAAATAACATATATTTATTTTATTGAAGTATAGTTGTTTTACAATGTTGTGTTAATTTCTGCTGTACAGCAAAGTGATTCAGTTATATAAATATTCTTTTTCATATTCCTTTCCATTATGGTTTATTATAGGATATTAAATATAGTTCCCTGCACTATACAGTAGGACTTTGTTATTTATCTATTCTATATGTAAGAGTTTGTATCTGCTATTCCCAAACTCCCAATCCATCCCTCCCACACCACA